GTTGGTTCCTTGTCGTCTATACAGTTGGCTTTGGTTCTACCAAACCAAAGTTGTTTTTTCAATCAAGTGATTGCTCCACACCTCCACAGAAGCTTTTTAGTCTGATGTAATCCCACACATCTGTGTGATTCCTGTAATTTTTAGGGTGAGAGGGTTTGTCCAAGATAACTTTCCTAGCCCCTTTTGACGTCTGGAAAGCTATCCTTTTTTTTTTCTGGTAGTTTTAGTTTTAGATCTTAGGTCTTAATTAGTATACTGTTGATTTTTGTAATTAATAAGAAATGGGGGTCCAGTTTCATTCCTCTGCAAGTGGATATCTTTTTAAAAATATTTTAGTTGTAAGTGGACACAATACCTTTATTTTTATTTTTATGTGGTGCTGAGGATCGAACCCAGTGCCTCACTTGTGCTAGGCAAGTGCTCTTACCACTGAGCCACAACCCAGCCCCACAAGTGGATATCACCTTTTCTTTCCGGATAAGGGGTGCTTTACCACTGAGCTGCATCCCCAGTCCTTTTTTTTTTTTTTTTTTTTTGAAGACAGGTTTTAGGGGCTGGAGTTGTGGCTCAGCGGTAGAGCGCTCACCTAGCATGTGTGAGGCCCTGAGTTCGAGCCTCAGCACCACATATAAATAAATAAAATAAAGGTCCACTGATGTCACGTTCCTCACAACCAAAACACTCAGGGTCACTCCGGGGGAACTGGGCTGCCTGAAGTAACCACACAAGAGACAGAAATCTCTTTTTCTTTGAGGTCCTGTGACGGCTCCTCTGACCTTAAGGGTCCGAAGAAAGAGAGTGAACAAGTGCGTGCTGAACCCTTTTATTGAGAAGAAGCCATTCAAATGAAGCAAGGGATCAGGTTCGGGGGGCGGGTTAAGTCTAGCTTCGTGATGTCTGCCGTCAGCAGGTTGACTGACATCTAGGAAGGCCACACCCAAAGGCAGAGCAAGAGAAGGGGACACACAAAGGGCATTTCCATGGAACATTCTATCCCAAACAGGGTAAAGGGATAGTATTACGAAGGAACAGGTGAGTGTAGCTCAGTCCATGGGATAACACACCTATGTCTGAAGATGCGTCCTCAACCTTCGGGACTGGGGCAATGTCCAGGTCACAACTAGATGCAGTGACCAGTCAAAGCCTCTCCACTCAGGGAAGGAGAATGTGAATCAGAGTGGCCGCCTCCCACACATTGACAATAAAAAAAAGGGGGGGGGGGTTTGCTAAATTGCTGAGGCTGGTCTCAAACTTGCAATCCTCTTGCCTCAACTACCTGAATCACGGAGATTACAGGTGTGCAAACACCTATAACCCTAGTGACTGGGGAGGCTGAGGCAGGAGGACCATAAATTCAAGCCAGCCTCAGTAACTTAGTGAGACTGTCTCAAAATGAAAAGTAAAAAGGATTGGGGAGGTAGCTCAGTGGCAAGGTGCCTCTGGGTTCCATCTCCAGTACCATAAATAAATAAATGTGTCCTTTCTCAACTGCGTCTTTAGCAACTTCACTGAAAATCACCTGATTATAGATGTGTGATTCCTCAGTTCTGTTCCACTGGTTTATGTAAGGTTTCTCTTTTTTATTTTTCTGTGGGGAATGGCAATTTAGGGTGCCGTACCACTGACCCACACCCCGGCCCTTTTTTATTTTTAATTTTTAGACAGGGTCTAAGTTGCTGAGGCTGGTCTCAAATTTGTGCTCCTTCTGCCTCAGCCTCCCTCGTAGCTGGGGTTACAGGTCTGAGCTCTATCAAGCTGGATGATACCACGGTCTTTGATCTGAGCACTGTGATCTCTCTGTAAGCCTCTTTGTTCTTTTTGCCCAAGATTGCTTTGGCCATTAGGAGTTTTTGTTATTGTTGTTCCACACAAATTATAATATTCTTTTCTCTATTTATCCTACGTTCCGTGTGGAATGTAGATTACCCTTACTACTTCAAGAGGAATTTACTGATCCTGGGATCCCTTCTAGTAGTTTGGATGTTTTATTACCTTTACCACTTAACTGTGTGTTATCACAAAACTAAAAGCACTTGGACCACATGAATGTGTTCCTTATCACATACTCAAAGCCTACAATACTTTTTTTTTTTTTTGCTTGATTTTACATTTTGCATCTGCAGAGACCGATATTAAGAGAAATCTGAAAATTTAGCGTCAAGACTACATTTTGGCTGGGTGTGGTGGCCCAAGCCTGTAATCCCAGCAGCTCGGGTGGCTGAAGCAGGAGGATCATATGTTCAAAGCCTCAGCAATTTAACAAGGCTCTAAGCAACTCAGCGAGACCCTGTCTCTAAATAAAACACAAAAAGGAGCTGGGGGTGTGTCTCAGTGGTTAAGTGCCCCTGGGTTCAATCCTCAGTACAAAAAAAAAAAAAAGCTACACTTTGTAGGCAATATGAAAAATGATCTAGTCTTTCCTGACCTTTGTTTTGTATTCTGACAATTTACTTAAATATACTTACCTCATGTGACCCCTGTAGAAGATTTCTTTAAAAACTATTATATATGGGGTTTTTTTGGGGGGGAGGGGTTGTACCAGGGAGTGAACTCAGAAACACTCAACCACTGAGCCACATCCCCAACTCTATTTTGTATTTATTTAGAGACTGGGTCTCACTGAGTTGCTTATCATCTCGCCTTTGCTGAGGCTGGTTTTGAACTCATGATTCTCCTGCCTCACCCTCCCAAGCTGCTGGGATGCCCAACATCACATAGTTTTTAATGGATAACTAAGTCTACATATTTTAATGAACATAATTCATGGAAATCAATGTGTACTATAATAGAAAAAAGGATGGAATAACAAGAATCGTGAGACCACATCATACACATTACACAGAAGAGGAAGGCAATGATTTATTAGCAAGGAAAATAAACCTTTTTCTCTACTGACTCTCTTAACTACAGTTTTTCACAAAAGGAGGAATGTGATATCCAGTTCCTGACACACAGACCAGCAATGGACAAAACATCCCTTTTCAATAGCTCATTAATGACAATTGATGACAATTAAATAGCTCATAAGTGCCAATTAAACAGTGTAAAATTGAATCTATCATATTGCAAATACAATTCACCCACCCATGTATCAAAATGCAAAGATAATAGAAAAAAAAACACCCCACCAAGCCCCTGTAAATTGCTTAAATTCTTACAGAAACATTTCATTTCATATGTTGTTGTTTTGGTACCAGGGAGTGAACCTAGGGTTGCTTAACCACTAAATAACATCCTCAGCCCTTTTTTATATTTTACTTAGAGACAGGGTTTCACTGAGTTACTTAGAGCCTAAGTTGCTGGAGGCTGGCTTTGAAGTTGTGATCTTGCTGCCCCAGTCTCTAGAGCTGCTGGGATTACAAGTGTGTACCACCACACCCAGCTGAAACATTTCATTTAATGTTTCAAATTACTACATATCCAAGTTAAAAATGAGACACTGAAGAACAAAATATACTCAGAACTTTTGCATTTCTTTCTTGTAAATTCTTCATAGAATAAATACTTCAGTATTAACGAGGTTTTCTATATAACTTACATTTACAAAACTTCTCTCCAGTGTGATTTCACATGACTTAAATTACTAGCTGACCTGGAAGGCTGAGACAGGAGGATCCCAAGTTCAAGGCCAACCTCAGCATTTAGTGAGACCCTGTCTCAAAAAATAGAAGGGTTGAGGATGTTCTCTGGTAAAGCATCCCTGGGTTCAATTCCCAGTGTAAAAACAAAACAAAACAACCAAACTTGTTAAAATGCATGGGGCCAGGTGGAGGACATCTGTAATCACAGATATTCAAGGGGATGAGGCAGGAATATTGCAAGTTCAAGGCAGGCCTGGACAACTTAGTGAGCTCCTATCTCAAAATTTAAAAAGTGCTTGGGATGTAGCTTAGTTGTGAAATGACTGGGTTGAAACCTTAGTACCTGCCCTCCAAAAATTAAAAAAAAAAATCCCACTTGGTAAAATGGAAAACTTTCCTTCATTTTTAAAAGGAAATGCTTCAAAGCCATGTATAATCTTACATATATATTTGAAAAGATGTAGGATACCAGGTTTGACACATTGCATATATTCGTGGAGATTCTCACGACTGTGAATCTTTCATGGCTACAATTTGAACTGATGACAAGCCTTACGGCACTTTCACACCATAAGACATCTGTCCATTATGCATTCCTTTCTTGGCTGAAGACTGCATGGCAATGAAAGAATTCCCATGCTCCTCTCATAGGATTTCTCCAGTAGGAGTTATCTTATGAGTTGGAAAGAAACTGAGAATTTGAAGGCTTTCACATATTCCTTGTATTTATAGCACTTGCCTCCATTTTGGGTTGCTCTCGTATTTCAAACAACTAAAACTTTACCACACTCTTTATATTCTCAATGTTTTTCTTCAGTGAGCCTTTCATGCCTTAGAAACGGAGAAACTTATAAGTTACATTTGTAAGGCTCTTCTCCATTAGGTACTATCACACGTCTTCCAATATTTACAAAGGACTCAAACACTTTCCCATATTCTGTACATTCATATTTCTCATTCATATTTCTTTTATGTACTTGGAAAGTACTCAAGTAAGGCTTTGCCATGATGGTTCCCTCCATAGTGTAATCCTTTTATACACATGAAACGAAAATGAGAAAACTCTTTCCCATGTGGCTTAACATAAATAGGGTTTCTCTTTCAGTATGGGTCCTTTTCATGGATTGGAACTGAACAAGCATTTGAACCCTTTCCCAAGTCCTTACATGCAAGGGTTTCTATCCAGTATGGGTCCTTTCATGGACTATAAAAGATCAAGATTTTTTTGAAAGCCTTCCTACATGGCTTACATTCATAGGGCTTCCCTCCAGTGTGAATCCTTTTATGTACAAGAATAAAAACCATTGAAGGATTTTCTGTGCTGCTTACACACAAAGGGTTGCTCTCTAATGTGAATCCTTTTGGGTAGTTGAATAAAACAAGTGAAAGTTTCCCACACTGCTTACATTCCTAGGGCTTCTCTCCATTGTGAGTCCTTTCATGGATTTGAAAAGAACTAGAACTTCTGAAGGCTTTCCCACATTCCTTATATTGCTAAGGTTTCTCTCCAGTGTGTGTCCTCTCATGCAATCGTAAAGAACTAAAATTGCAAAAGGCTTTCCCACATTGTTTACACTCATATGGTTTATCTCCAGTGTGAATTCTTTTGTGAACTCGAAAAGACCAAGAATCCTTGAAGGCTTTCCCACATTCATTACAGTCATAGGGTTTCTCCCCAGTATGTGTCTTTTCATGGACACGGAAAGACCAAGAACTGCTATAAGCTTTCCCACACTGCTTACATTCATAGGGTTTCTCGCCAGTGTGAGTCCTTTCATGAATTCGAAAAGAACCAGAACTTCTGAAGGCTTTCCCACATTCCTTACACTGGTAGGGTTTCTCTCCAGTGTGCATCCTTTCATGCAATCGTAAAGAATTACAATTGCGAAAGGCTTTCCCGCACTGCTTACATTCATAGGGTTTTTCTTCACTGTGAGTCCTTTCATGGACTCGACAAGAAGAAGAAGCAACAAAGCCTTTCCCACATTGCTTACATTTATATGGTTTCTCTCCAGTGTGAGTCCTTTCATGGATTCGAAAGGAACTAGACCTTCCGAAGGATTTCCCACATTCCTTACATTGATAAGGTTTCTCTCCAGTGTGAATCCTTTTATGCAACTGAAGAGGACTAAAATCGATGAAGGCTTTCCCACATTCCTTACATTCATAGGGTTTCTCTCCAGTGTGAATCCTTTCATGCACTCGAAGATACTTCACATCCTTGAAGGCTTTCCCACAGTGCTTACATTTATATGGTTTCTCTCCAGTGTGAGTCCTTTCATGGACTCGAAAAGAACGAGAACTTCTGAAGGATTTCCCACATTCCTTACACTGATAAGGCTTTTCTCCAGTATGAGTCCTTTTGTGCAACCGAAGAGAACTACAATTGCTAAAGGTTTTTCCACATTCTTTACATTCACAAGGTTTCTCTCCAGTATGAGTCTTTTCATGGACACGAAAATACCAAGAATTGTTGTAGGCTTTCCCACACTGCTTACATTCATAAGGTTTCTTTCCAGTGTGAATCCATTCATGGATATGAAAAGAACTAGAAGTTCTGAAGCCTTTTCCACATTCCTTACACTCATAGGGTTTCTCTCCAGTGTGAATCCTTTCATGCACTCGTACATATCTCATATCTCTGAAGGCTTTCCCACATTGTTTACATTTATATGGTTTCTCTCCAGTGTGAATCCTTTCATGAACTCGAAAAGAACTACAACTTCTGAAGGATTTCCCACATTCCTTACACTGATAAGGTTTTTCTCTCATATGAATCCTTTCATGATTCAGAACTGATTGGGAAAATTTAAAAGCTTTCCCACAATATTTACATTTATAAGGTCCATCTCCAGTATGTTCTAACATGTCTCTTCCAACCTTTCCATGGGAATTGAACGCTTTCCCACAGCAGTCCTTACATTCATAGGGTTTCTCTCCAGTTTTTGTCCTTTCATGACTCAGAGCTGACCTATGATAGTAAAAGGCTTTCCCACAAAATTTGCATTTGTTAGGTCCATCTCCGGTGTGCAATATCATGTGTCTTGTTTGACTTTTATGAGAAGTAAATGATTTCCCACATTCCTTACAATCATACAGCTTCTCTGCAATTTGAGTCCTTTCATATCTTTGAAAGGAGTAGTGATCAGTAAATGCTTTCTCATATAGCTTACAATGATACTGTTTTCCCCCATATTCCTGAGTCTCATACAGTTTGTATCTGGTATCATGAACCATATATCTATTAAGGGATGAGAGACACATGAAGACTACTCCAGGCACACTGCAGTCATATGGCTTAACTCCATTAAAGCTTTGGTTCACATCAGGATTTAGAATATGGCTAAAGATTTCTCCACAGTGAAGATGCTCTTTACTTTCACAGGCTTGCTCTCCATTATTATTGCTGTGAAAGAGGAGAACTACATTATTGTTGGTTTGTAATATTAACAATTCTACCTTCACTATTATAAACTGGACAGATGTTTTTACTATTATTAGAGGAAGTGTAGGTTTTCTGCACTGTCCAAACTCTGTGAAAGTGAATGGACTGAATGCTTTGTAGGAAAGTTTGACCAAATTATTCAACAATATAGTGATTTTCATATAGGGAATTCCTATTATTGTTTCTGATTTGCAAAAACATTTATATCACATTTAAATACACATTTTGGTAAAAATTTCTTTATCAGTAAGTTTAAAGCTGAACTTTTTTGTTGTTGTTGTTTGCTTATTTTTAAAATTTATTGGCATACTACACTTCTCCATATAATATCTCCTGAGACCACAATGGTATGAAACTAGAAATCAGTAAAAGGAAGAATCTTGGAAATTTCACAAATATACAGCAACTAAATTACATACTCCTGAACAATCCATGGATCAAGGAAAAAGGGAAAATGAAAATATCTTGAGACAAAAATGGAAACATAACGAACATCTGAAATTCATGGAATGAAGCCAAAGCAGCTCTACAATGGATGCATAAACAATAAATGCCAACTTGAAAATATAAGAAAAAGCCCATATATAGTCAAATATTATGGATCAAAAAACTAGAAAGAAGAGAACAAGGTAAATACAAAAGGAGCAGAAGGAAGGATACAATGAAGACCAAAATAATAAATCTAAATCAAACAAAGACCAGAAAAGATAGAGATAGAATCTGTAATGGTGAGAGTTGCTTTTATAAAAAACAAAAACAAAAACAAAACAAAAAACCGAGGTGCTCTGGGAAAATGAGAAGATTCAAGTAAATAAAATAATAATAAAATGAAACCAGTCCAATAGACACCTCATAATTTTTTTTAAGTTTATATGTGACTATTAGCACCAAGAAGACACAAAGACAGCCTCCTCAAAAAGAGTACAAGAAAAGTGCCTTTCCACAAGCTGAAGAATGAAACTGAACCCCTATCTTACACAGTACACAAAATGAATTGAAAAATGGTCAAAACAATGAAACTTATTATAAAGCAACCAGAAGAGAGAACGTGGGAGAAAGTGCCCTGGACACTGACTTGCATTGATTTTGTAGATACTACACCAAAAGCTCAGGTCACAAAAGCAAACATATATAAAAGGAGTTACATTAAATTAAAAACCTTCTGCTTCTGTCAAGCAACTACATGAAAACAGCATCTACCAATTTAGGAAAAAAACATTTAAAGCCATAATTAAGAAGTTATGTCTCTGTCCATTTTCTCTTACTGTCATAAAATACAGAAGTTGGGTTAGAAAAAGAGTCTTGGAAGTCCAGACGCCATTGTGCCACTAATCTGATGAGGGTCTGTTGGCTGAATCATCACATATCATATGTCATCACATGGTGGGAGAGCAATATGTGAAAGAAAGTGTGAAGAGAGGCATGAAAGAGAAGTGATGGGCATATGCAAAGGGCAAGACATGCAGGGTGCGATGGCGCACACCTATGATCCCAGAGGCTTGGGAGGCTGAAGTAGGATGATCACAAGTTCAAGACCAGTATGAAAAGGTGCTCCATGTCACAAATCATCAAGGAAATGGAAAGCAAACCCACTGTGAGATACCACCTCATACCTATTAGAATGGCCATTATAAGCTGAAAAGATAACCAATATTGGGGAAGATATGGAGTAAAGGAAACCTTATACATTGTTGTCAATGTACTTTGCTGCAGCCATTATGGAACCCAATAGAAAATTTTCTTAAGAAAAAACTAAAACTGTCACATAACTCAGCAATACCGTTTTAAGGCATATACCCAAAGGAAATGAAATCAGCACCTTATAAAGACGTCTGCACCTCCACATGCATTGCAGCATCATTCACAACAGCCATGCTATGAAAACAAGAGTGAGATCTCCTTAAGGAGATCCTTCCCTTGGCCACTGCAGGGATGAAATGACAGCACAGTATGCTAAGTGAAGTAAGCCAGACGCTGAAGGACAAGTATTGCATGACCTCACTTACATGGGAAATAGGTCAAGTACAATAAGATAGAGAATAGAAGAGTAGTTACCAGGGCCAGGAGCTGAGGGGAGACAATGGGAAGATGAAGATCAGAGGACCAAAAAAAAAAAAAAAAAAACAGATTGTGAGGCTGAATGAGGCCACAGATAGAATGCAGAATATGAGAAACCAGGTGCAGTGGCGCACACCTGTGATCCCAGTGGCTTGAGAGGCTGAGGCAGAAGAATTGCAAGTTCAAAGCCAACATTAGCAACTTAGCAACACCCTATCTCTCAGTAAAATATAAAAAGGACTGGGAATGTAGCTCAGTGGGAGCACACCCCTGGTTCAATCCCCAGTATTAAAAAAAATAATAATTAATTAATTTTAAAAAAACAGGGTTGTATACTTGAATTTGTGTATACCTGAAATATACAACTTAATTTTTTAAGAGTAAGATTCATGAATATGGTTTTAAAATATGGTTTTCTATTTTGTAAATACTGAACATGTATATCACATTGAAGTACACATTTCTTGTTAAAAAATTCTCAGTATGGGCTGGGATTATGGCTCAGTAGAACATGTGCCTGGCAAGTGGTCGATCCTTAGCATCACATGAAAAATAAATAAATAAAATTAAGTTTAAAAAATATTCTCAGTAAATAAATTTGATCTTTTTAATATCATTTTCTTATTTTTTAAATTTCATGTTATCTAGATAGTGACAGATGCATGTACTCTTCGCCTACTGGTGAGGCTAAAGTAATTCAAAGCCAGCCTCAGCAATTAGCAAGAACATTGTCTCAGGAAGAAATCATGAACTAGAATTCTCTTATGGGACATTGCTTTCACTTGGGAGTAAAATTACCTTAACTTTCCCCCAAAATTTCTGTAGCAATCTTCACAGTTCTTGTCTTGCAACAATTTTCCTAAAATGCAGAGACAGACCATCACCATGAATTATTAGGATTACAGAAATGCGACTGACTAGCTTCCAGGTTCGGAATGGTTAGAACATGCCTGAATCGATACACCATGGTATTCCTTTTCCTTGTTCCAAATTGTGGAACAAAGTTCATGGGTAAGAAACACTTTTTCTTGGCTAGCAGTGTAATTCAGTGGCACGGCCCTTGAATAGCATGGGTGAGGGCCTTGGGAAGAAGGAAGGGAATGCAGGGAGGGAAGAAAGCAGAAAGGAAGAAGATAGGAAGAAAAAAGAGAGAAAGTAAGTAAATGAAAATGAAGAAAGAAAGAGGGAGGAAGTGAGGGAGGGATAAATAAAGACATTTTCCGACTAAGCCAAAGATGTCTGGTCATTACCTAGAGAGGACAAGTTGCCAAAGATTTCCGACATCACATCTCTGTAGAGTTTCTTCTGGGAAGGATCCAGCAGAGCCCACTCCTCCTGGGTGAAGTATATAATCACATCTTGCAAGGCCATTGAGTCCTGAAACATCCTAGACAAAATTGTAACAGGAGGGAATGATACAGATGCACAAGACACACACGCTCTGTAGTCTCCAAACATTTATCCTATAATCCATGAAGGTAGAACAGTGTACCCTGGGTCTTGTTTACATTGAGAAGCAGGTTAAGAGTTGCAATTTCTGCCCATTTACAATGAAACAAAAGTGGCGATTTCTGGCTGGGTGTGCTGAGGGCATGCCTGTGTCTCAGCTACTCAGGAGGTGGAGCAGGTGGATCACACAGAGAATTTTAACCTGTGCTCACACTCACTTCCTCATAAATTACCAGACCCAAGAACACAGGGAAAGGATCTGTACAGTTTTACTGTGGTCACTACAAGTGTTGCTCTCTAATGGGAGGGTCTACTTCACCTTGGGGAAATGAGAGAAATGATACACAAATTATGACTGTCAATTCCTTTTATGAAAAACTTCCATCCTGTTCCTGAGTAGCTCACTATGTGTCTCAGCAAAAGAATTCATTTTAACTTATTGGTGTAATATTACAGGCCATTTATCCTTTTTTCCTCTGTCCCTTTTTATAGCAGTATGCAATTACTGGGAAGATATCAGGTAGGAGGGAAAAAGCAGGGTAACACAGTCTTTCTCAAAAATCTCCACACTCAGGAGCCTCAGGGCAACTTCCAACACAATTTTAGCACACGTGTGCACATGCACACACACTCAAAGAACTCTTTCTAGAAGACCCAACAGTGTACCTTGGGCTTCTCTTACATTGAGAATCAGGTTAAGAGATGCAATTTCCAGCCAGGTACAATGGCATGTGTCCAGAATCCCAGCAACTTGGGAAGCTGAGGCAGGTGGATGGCAAAGCCTCAGCAATCTAGTGAGAGCCTCTCAAAATTAAAAAATGTATTGGGCTGGAGGTTGTAGCCTAATGGTAAAGAACTTGCCTAGCATATGTGAGACACTGGATTTGATTCTCACCACCACATAAAAATAAATAAAATAAAGGTCTATCAATGACTAAAAAAATTAAATATATATATATATATATATATAAAATAAAATATATAAAGGGCTGGATATGCAGCTCAGTGGTACAGCACCCCTGGGTTCAATCCCCAGTACTTCAAAATAAATAAATAAATAAATAAATGACTGCAAATACAGCTCAATGCAGAGTGCCTGGGCTCTATTTCCAGAAACACAAAAAAAGTTGCAATTTCTGAGGGATTTCACTGATACCCATAGTAGTTTAATGGTGAATGTGCCCATGATTGTAAAATACCTAAAAGATTCACCAACACTTTTCTCCAAAGAATATAAAGTGTTCTTCCTCAAAGTTCAAGAGGAAATGATTCCTGACCAGCCAACAAGTGACATTACACTTGGTCATATGAAAACAAAGTGAAACAAGGCAAAATATAGTCTCAGAAGATGTTCTCAAAGAGAACTCAATGTCCCCAAGATCTTACAGAAAAAGGAGAAGACATACTGGAAGAGACAGACAGATTGATATATATTAACATAAAGGGAGTTACAACAAACATAGAATAAAATAATTGCAAAATGAGGTCAATAAAAGAATTAATGCCACAGTAAAATGAATGAACACAGAATTTTTCTGCGGGGTGGTGGTGGGTACTGGGGATTGTACTCAGGGGTGCTTAACCACTGAACCACATCCCCAGCGCTTTTTTATATTTTATTTAGATACAAGGTCTTGCTGAGTTGCTAAATGTCTTGCTAAGTTGCTGAGTCTGGCTTTGAATTTGTGATCCTCCTGCCTCAGACTCTAGAATCTGAGGGATTACAGGCACATGCCATCACACCCAGCTGAACACAGATTTAAAGAGTGAAAATTATTACCAGATATATTTAACAGAAGATAAAAATGTATACGTGCAAAATGCTATAACTCTTAGGCAAAGAAGATGTGCCATATCAGATGTATTCACAGGATTAGAAGGACAAAAGTTAATCAGTTAGATAATCCCATATGTTGGTATCCATCATGAACAAGTAAGCAGAGGAATGGAGTGGAGGGTCAATGGCTAAACCCCACTGCTCCTTCTTGAAATTGTGATCTTGACCTTGAACCCCAACCCAGTAAAGTTTCTCCAATGTCCTGAGGGTTTATTCTGGATTGAATTTACAAATTTACACAAATGTGAAAGAACAGGCATTTTTCACAAGACCAAAAATATATTTTAAAAACTAAAATACCATAACCACTGGAAAGAATGAAGAAATTAGACGATCAGAAGCCAAAAACACCAGGATGTTTGAATCACACTGAGGCAAAGAAACAAGTGAAAGGCAAATATTTGCACTATAACCCACAGTCCCACAAGTCATCAGACATAACCACAACAGGGTACCAGAGCCATTCACATAAATGCCCAGTCAACCACAAATTCATGGGTTCCTTTAATGTTCTTTGGTAAATAATTCACTAGAATGACTCTTGGAATTTGGGAGAGGGCTTTACTTAGTATTATCAGTCTATTACAGAGGACCACTTACTTCAACCACATTTATAAAAAGATAAAAGGAGGCAAAATTAAAAACAAAACAAAATAAAAACAGCACTTAGTGGTAAAGAAAACACAGTAATAGTATAAGGGATAACCAAAAAGTCAGGAATATGTTCCTCTATGGGGAATCTAGAGAAGAGTCAAGGAGGGGAACAGGAGGAGTCATGAAATTTTTTCTTATTTTTTTTCCCTCTCTTTTTCCTCCTCTTCTTTTTTGGACAATGGGGACTGAAATCAGCAGTACTATGCCACTGAGCTACCGTCCCACATTCCCCAGCCTCCTCTCCCCTTTTTATCTTGAGATAGGGTCTTTCTAAGCTGCTAAGACTGCCTTAAACATGTGATCTTCCTACCTCAGCCTCTTGGGTCATTGTAATGAGTCACTGGCATTTTACAGGTGTACACTGCCACATCTGGCTCCAGTTATGAATCTTGATGATTCCAACAATGTTCACTATCTGGAGTTTGTGTCAGGTTAAGGGCTCAGTCCCACAAGTCATCAGACGTAACCACAACAGGGTACCAGAGCCATTCACATAAATGCCCAGTCAACCACAAATTCATGGGTTCCTTTAATGTTCTTTGGTAAATAATTCACTAGAATGACTCTTGGAATTTGGGAGAGGGCTTTACTTAGTATTATCAGTCTATTACAGAGGACCACTTGTTTCAACCAAGTGGAAGACATACACGGGCAGAGTAAATGTGGGATGACACAGAGTTTCTGTGTCCTTCTGGACTAGCAGCCCTGCAACCTGGATCTTCTGCTAAAGGAGCAAATCCTCAGTACTGGTTTGTTCCTCATCTTTTCAGTTCTGAGGAACTGAAGAGGAAATGATTCCTGACCAGCCAACAAGTGACATTACACTTGGTCATATGAAAACAAAGTGAAACAAGGCAAAACATAGTCCATGAAGTTGAACTTCATGAACCTCCATGAAGTTCAAGAGAAACTCATGTCACTGGGTAGGGTCAGGAAATTAACCCACAGAAGAAACTAAGAAGGACACAACATCTTTATTTTATTTTAATTACTGCTCCCTTATCTTCCAAGAAATTGAGAGGACCATGGCGTTTTCATCATATTACTTACATCCACAAGGAAAGGACAGGTGGGTATAAACAGTATGTAGAACTAAGGTAATATGACCATCTCTCAGACAAGGGACACTTGGAATCTGAACTTAATTCCTATTTCTGAAAAGTCATATACATAAGGGTTTTTTTATTTTTTAGTTTTAGGTGAATACAATATCTTTATTTTATTTTTATGTGGTGCTGAGGATCAAACCCAGTGCCTTACAGGTGCTAAGTGAGCTGTTGAGCCACAACCCCAGCCCCACATAAGGGTTTTTTTTTTTCTTTTCTTTTTCTTTTTTTTTTTTAAAGAGACAGAGAGAGATAAACTATTTTTTAATATTTATTTTTTAGTTTTCAGTGGACACAACATCTTTATTTTATTTTTATGTGATGCTGAGGATTGAACCCAGCACCCTGTGCAGGCGAGCACACTACTGCTTGATCCACATCCCGAGCCCCAAATAAGGTTTTAATTTACAAATATACAAATGGCAAAAGAGAGACACTCCTATACTCAGGACTGTACCACTAGCTCTAACACAGGAGCCATTCTATCCAAAATTTATGGATTCAACTCACAAAAAAATCCCATGACATTTGTGCTCCCCAGTTCTTTTTATTAAGCATTAAAATAATGAATCTAAGTTAAAACTATTTTAAGGGCCCAGATCAAGATTCCATAGGTATGCATTATAATCCATTTTTTCAACTCCCATTGACATGTCATGGTCTGTAAGGGGGAAAGCTACACAACCAAATACCATTCATTTCAGTGTGAAAATTTCAATGAGAAGCTTTACTAGAAGGCTGAAGAGTAGGGAGGAGGTGACCATGGCACTTTGAAAAAAAACATGTAACTGTCTTCTAAAAAAGATGGAACTGGGGATTCTCTGAAGAAAAGCAGAAACCAACCTAGTGCAAAAGGCACCTATTTACCTGGTAAATCAACTCTTCCTCCACCTTGCCGTGCGCACCAAGTACCACTCCTGTCAGGGCCTACACAACTTAGCAAAACTCTGTCCCAAAATAAAAAATAAAAAGGGCTGGGGGCAGTGGCACACTCCTGTAATCCCGTGGCTGGGAAGACTGAGGCAGGAGGCTCGAGAGTTCAAAGCCAGCCTCAGCAATTTAGCAAGGTGCTTAGCAACTCAGTGAGACCCTATCTCTAATAAAATACAAAATAGGGTTGGGGATGTGGCTCAGTGGTCAAGTGCCCCTGAGTTCAATGCCCCAATACCCCAAAAATAAATTTAAAAAATTTAAAATTAAAAGGGATGGGGATCTGGCTCAGTGGTTAAGGGCCCTGGGTTCAATCCCCTATACCAAACAAAGAAAAAAAGAAAAGGAATTTACCTGCAGCCCTGCCTCGTGTAAGTCAACAGGATATGTTACAT